ACTCCAGAAGACATCAAGAAATAATAAAACAAAATCCAAAGACTAAAAAAAATAGAGAAAAGTGTGAAATATCTCATTGGAAAAACAACTGACTTAGAAAACAGATTGAGGAGAGATCACTTAGGAATTACTGGACTACTTGAAGACCATGATAAAAAAAAAGAGCCTAGACATCATATTTGAAGATGTCATAAAAGGAAACTGCTCAGATATCACTAGAAGGCAAAGTAGAAATTGAAAGAGTTCACTGTTGACCTCCTGAAAGAAATCTCAAAATGAAAACTGCCAGGAGTATTATAGCCAAATTCAAGCGCTCCCAGTTCAAAGAGAAAATACTGAAAGCAGCCAGAAAGAAACAATTCAAATATCATGGAGCCACAGTCAGGATCACATAAGATTCAGCAGCTTCCATGTTAAAGAAGTGGAGGACTCAGAATATAATATTCCAGAAGGCAAAGGCACTAGGATTGCAACCAAGAATAACCTACCCAGCAAAACTGAGCGCAATCTTTCAGTGCAATAAATGGATATTTGATGAAATAGAGGACTTTCAAGCATTCCTAAAGAAAAGATCAGGAGCAGCTATAGAGCACCGGCCCTGAAGTCAGGAGGACCTGAGTTCAAATCCAGCCTCAGACACTTGGTATTTACTAGCTAGGTGACCCTGGGCAAGTCCCTTAACCCCACTGTCTAGCCAAAAAAAAAAAAAAAAGACCAGAGCTGAATAGAAAATTTGACATTGAAACAGAAGACTCAAAAGAAGTATAAAAAGGTAAAGATGAGTGAAAAATCATAAGGAACAAACAAAGGTTAAACTGTTTCTATTCCTATATGGGAGAGAATGATACACATAACCTCTAAGAAGTTCATCATCGGTAGGGCAGTTAGGAGTCTACTTTGACAGAGGATAGAGGCATGAGCCTACTCTTCAAAAGAAGAATGGAAAGGTGAGAAAGAGGGATGAACTGGGAGAAAGGGGAGGAGAGAGGAAGAATGGAGAAATGATCTTAAGTAAAAGAGGCAGACAAGGAAGAGTTTTTACAATGGAGGGGGAAATGGGAGTTGGGGAGTGGGCTATGGTTAAATATCATTCTCATCTGATCTGGTTCAAAAAGAGAAAGATGGTGTATGTGTGTTTAGTATATGTGTGTGTGTGTGTGTGTGTGTGTAATATATATGTATATATACATACACACATACGTATATGTTCGTTTTTATACACACATAGTTGGGTATAGAAATTCATCTTCCCAATAAGGAAGTAGCAGTGGAAAGGGGAGGTAATAAGAAAGAGGATAGATGAAGGTAGGCAGTGACTAGAAGCAAAATGGACTTTTGATGAGGGGACAGGGGAAAAAGAGAAGGATAAAAAGAAGAAAATAGGATGGAGTGAAATACACAGTTAGCAATTATAACTGTGAATGTGAATAGGAAGAACTCACCTACAAAATGGAAGAGGACAGCAGAACGGATTAGAAACCAGAATCCAACAATATGTTGTTTACAAGAAACACACTTGAAACAGAAAGACACACATACAGATTTAAAATTAGAGGCTAGAGCAGACTCTACTATGCTTTGGTTGAAGTGGGAAAAAAAAGGCAAGGGTAGCAATATCACGATCTTAGAAAAAGCAAAAGTATGGGGCAGCTAGATGGCGCAGTGGATCGAGCACCGGCCCTGGATTCAGGAAGACCTGAGTGCAAATCTGGCCTCAGATACTTGACCTTTACTAGCTGGGTGACCCCCTTACCTCACCAAAAAAAAGAAAAAGCAAGAATAGATAATCTAAATCTATCTAATACATACTGTGTTAATAATAGCATACAATAGATAATAGCTAATCATCTAATTAAATAGACCTGAAGAGATAATCAGAGAAACTACATTTTACTAAAAGTTACATAGACAATGAATTATAACAATACTGAACATATATGCAGTAAATAGCAAAGAATCCATATTCTTTTTTTATTTTTGGTTTGTTTTTCGAAGGATCCAAATTCTTGAAGGAACAGCTCAGTAACTTACAGGAGGAAACAGTAAAACTGTACTAATGGGGGACTTTTTGTATCCCCAGTACCTAGCACACACATGAGCCGATGAGTGGTCCCGAGGACTTTTAGGACCAAATCCAAACCCCTCTGTTTGGCGTTTAAAACCCTCACAGGCTCATTTTAACCTACCTTTCCACATTCTTCAGTCCAGACAAACAGGCTGTCTTTCTGCTCTTCATGAACGACATTCTTTCCTGCCTGTCCCTTTACATGGGGAGGCTTCTATGCCTGGAATGCTCTCCCCCGCCTCCCCACGTTCTCTTAGAATCTCTGGTTCTCCTCAGAGCTCAGCTCAAGCAGGACCTTTAACATTAAGCCTACCTGGATCCATATTCCACCCCATCCCACTCCCCAGCCAGGAAGATCGACTTTGCAGTTACTTTGTAGGTGTTTCTACTATCATCTCCCCTGATGAATAGAAACTCCCTGAGGGGAGGGATTGCTTCATTTCTGCCTTTGTTTTCCCAGGGTCCAGCACTAGGCTGGCACACAGCAAATGCCTTATAATTGAATCAACAAATATTTATTAAGTTTCTACCATGTGCCAGGCCCTGGAGCGCAAGCTAGCAGATGAAACATTCTCTGTTCTCGACAGGAATATTCTCATTCTCTCTGGTTGTCTTGAAGGCCTGTCCTGGTGATCAAGGATTATACTTCTTCTCCTTGGCTCCAGAAGGCAGAAGAAGGTCAGGATGTGAGATCTAGGTTTGATGTCAGGGAAGAGGAGAAGGGACTCAGCATTTATTACTCACCTACTACATACACTGTGCTAAATACACTGTTCCCTCCTCATAACAACCCTTCAACGCAGGTGCTATCGCAAGGCCCATTTTACAGGATAAATTGTCAGGAAGAGTCCTACTACTACGGTGCCTGACCATGGTGTGGCGGCGACAGGAGCAGAACACAAACGAAGGAAGGCTGTCCCACACTTGAAAGCCTTCAGATAACATCCCCCTGACACAAACACAGGTCGGTTCTCTGAGGGTCTCCACCAGGTCCCCCCATTAGAGCAGGTCTGACAATCGCGGGTTGGCCTCTGCCGTGGCAACGCGCTGCACACAGATCAAGGTGGCCTAGCTTAGGGGTCAGGCAGCACCCTCCGGCTCCTGACAGTGCTGCTGGTCCCTCACCCATTGGCACCGTTTCTGGTTTCTCCTGCCTGTGTCTTGTCTACACCTGGTTGTATCTCCCAGGCGGGGAAGGAGCTCCTTTAGAGCAGAGGCTGCCTTTGCCCTTCTTTGAGTCCCTAGCACTCAGCCTTTTGCCTGGCACACAGTAGGTTAGTTTGTGGACTTCAGAGGGTGCCAGGGTGCACAGAGTTTTTCAGACTGCCTGTAAACATTCATCAGCCCCTGGTTCCATTTTAAATGTGATACCCTTGTCTACTGACCCACAGGGTGACAAATTGCAGGGATGCTGGAAACCCCTTCTCCCCCTCAATCCCTAGTGTAGTATACTCTCCTGCTCCCACTGCCTGTCTTCCCTAAGAGAATGGAAGCTCCTCGAGGGCAGGCTGCTCTCTTTCTATGCATTTCCGATTCCCAGAACAGAAGAACTTAAACCGAGGTTTGTGGAACTGAAAGCGGATGGATTGAGGCCAGGCCATGCGAAGGGCAGGGCAGCGTGTCAGTGGGCATCATGGCAGAGACGGTGGGGCCAGTCTGGGAGCAGGGGAGATGGCCAGGGTGGGGGAGGCGGGAGTCTTGATCCCCAGGGCACAGAATGGGGGAGGGGTCGGGGGAAGGTCAGGGCTCCCGGTGAAGGGGTAACATGGGGGGGTCAGGGGAAGATGGGGGCTCCTGGACCAGGCAGGCGGTCAGACGGCGGAGGGCAAGCACGGGCCGCCAGTAGCTAAGGAACGTCTGTGAAGCGCCCACTATGTGCCAGGCAGGGCCAAGTTCCAGTGACCAGCTCCGACAGGCAGGGGCAAGGTCTCGGAGCTTCGAAGTCAGAATGGGGGGCTCATGGAGGGCGGGGGGCAATGGTGAAAGGGGGTGAAAGCTGATTGACCTGGCGGCGGGAAGGCGTACACTGGGCACTGAGGACGAGTGGGGAAGTGCTGAGGGGCGGGGGTGCCTGAGAGGGGGCTGGGGTCTAGTGACCAGCGCCTGGAACGTGGGGGGACATGGGGGGGCGCATCTGCACAAGGAGGCACTCGGGTGACACCCCCCCCACACTCCGGGCATCATTGGGCAGGTCCAGGGCACAGAGGAAGAGGCGTTCTGGGGGCGGGGCTTACCCTGAAGAGGGAGCTGGGGGAGGGGCCGAGGCGCTGTAGGGGGCGCTGTGGGGCAGCTCAAGGCCCTGTGGGGAGGGCGCCATGGGGGGGCGGAGGGCTGGGGGCGGGGCTTAGCCTGTAGCTGGCGATGCGAGTCAGACCTACGGCAGTAGGTAGGGGGCGCAACTCTGGCTCTGCGCGCCCCCGCCCCTCCACAGCCGCCCCAGCGCGGACGCCGCGGACCCCGCCGGCAGGGGGCGCGGCGGCGCCCAGCGGGGGGCCGCGGCGGCGCACGACCTCGGCCGGCAGGGGGCGCAGCTCCTCCTCGGTGCGTTCCTCTTTCTGGGCGCCGGTCGGGCCCCCCCCAGTCGCCGCCCCCCCTCGCCCCGTGGCTGCTGCGGCGGCCGGGTCTGACGGGCGGGTGGTGCTCGGCTGCGCAGGCGGGGCCCGGGACCGGAGCCGGAGCGGGGCCGGGGCGGGAGCGGGGGCCGCGGCGGGGCCGGAGCGGGAGCCGGAGGAGGCGGAGCGGCGGGCGCGGGCGTCATGGGGCGGCGCCGCCGCGTGTAGGCCGGGGCCGGGGCCGGGGCCGGGGCCGAGGCCGGGGCCGGGGAGGCCGGGCCGGGCCGCGGCGGGTGGAAGGCCTCGCCGTGCGGGACGTGGAGGTCCACGAGCGCCAGGGCGGCGGCGGCCGAGACGGCCAGGGCGGCGAAGGGGGCTACAAGATGGCGGACCTGGAGGCCGTGCTGGCCGACGTGAGCTACCTGATGGCCATGGAGAAGAGCAAGGCCACGCCGGCGGCGCGGGCCAGCAAGAAGATCCTGCTGCCCGAGCCCAGGTGAGAGGCGCGCCCCGAAACCCGCTCCGAAAGGGACCCCGGGGGAAGCCCCCCTGAAACGACCCTGAAACTGGCCCTACCCGAAACTGACCCCGAAACTGGCCCTGCCTGAAATTGACCCTGCCTGAAATTGACCCTGCAACTTCCCCCAGCCTGAAACTGAGCCTAAGCTTGATCCCAGACCCTAGGCTCAAGGCTGACCCTGACCCTGACCCTAAACTCGGGACAGCCCTCACACCTCTCCCCCTCTCTCCCTCCGTCCCTGACTGTCACCCCGAGCACCCCAGTGGCCATGGCCCCCATACTTGTTTCCTTCGCCGGTCCTTCTCAGCCCTTTCTTCTTCTTCATGCCGGCCAGCCCATACTGTCCATTTTGCGCTGCCCACAGTCCGTGCTGGCTGTCAGGCCACATCCTTTACTCCTCACACCTCCCCCGTGTCCACTTCAAACTTCTCATTGCCTAGCAACCCTCATCCATCCTCAGCCCTTTATTTCACCCCATAGACTCACCTAACCCCCCACCCTCCCCTACAAGCCCCTTACAAATCGGGCTTCTTACCTCTCATCCCCTCCCACACACGTCTTACCTCCAACCTCCCCCCAAATGCTCACTCTATCTGCTACTCAGCCTTCTTTCTCCTCCTCTACTATAACTGTGTGATTTCTCCTTCTTAGACCTCCCTCTTTAACCTACTCTCTACCCTTTTACTATCAGTGATAAGCATTTATTAAGTGCTTACTCTGCAATAGGCACTGTGATAAACATTGGCGATACAAAGACAAAAATAGTACCAATTCCTGCCCTCAAGGAGCTTACATTCTAATCAAGAGAGAGTTTCCTATTGGCCTGGCCCTGAACCTGTTTAGTTTCCCCTGCCTTCCTCAATAATACCAACTCACATCATTGACTAGGACTTTCTCCTAATTCCTGCCTCTCCCTTCCCCACTAACCTTCGGCCAAAGATGGCATTTCAGGCAGTACCTGTCCTGAGGGATGACATGAAGGGGAGAAGGCACACGTTTAGTGGCCTCCTGGGGTACTTTATACCCTTGGAGTTGGGTTTGAGGAGTCTCTGTCTTTCAACCAGAGGTGAAAGCCCAAGAAAGGGGAATCTGTAGGGGATGGGGTGAGGGGATGGATGTGGCCGATGTAAATAGCACCCCCAGACTGCTGGAGGGAAAACCTCTTCCACTCGGGTGCCAGCAGGGAGTGTATGAATGCATTAGTGTGGACCCAGATGCCATATATTTGTTACACTTGGAAGAAACACCTGTGACGTCAGGCCTTCCCGTACACCTTTTGGCCTGGCTCCCCAGGGGTACCTGGAAAGGCTGGAGGCCTTCCTCCCCCTCCCTCCTGGGCCGTGTTTACAGTAGGACGGCTATTGCCTGATGATTCCATGTAGCAGCTGGGACACGGGTGCCCCAGGGGTGGCAGGTCCCTGCTGTCATTTGTAAACTGAGAGCTTGGTCTGGCCCTTTGAGAGCCCATCCCAGATAATGGGGTGTCAGGCCCAGCAGGTTCCCTGGACGCATGGTGTGTGCCTGGGTCAGGATTCTGAGGCGTGAGCTCACTCTGGGTGTGACTGTGTTTTGCCTGGACCCTTGAGCGGGCTGGCTGGGTCAAAGGGAGAGTCGTGGGTGCCGGAGTTGGCCAGTGATGAACAGTGAGCCCCTGAGGCTGGCCTGGGGTGCCCATAAGTGTGCTGGGGCGTACTCTCCTCTGCTCACAGGCATCTCCAGTCACTGGGTTTCAGATTGACTGAGCGTGAGGGACCAGAGAGGGGAATTTGCCCTCCCTTGGGGGCCCCTTTCTTTTCTGACTCTGGTGATCAGATTTCTCAAAACAGGAACTGGGGCTTACTGTGAGCACGGGGCGGCCCAGGGAACAAGGACAAGATGGGGCCCAGCAAGTTCAGAAATTGCCAAGCTGGGGAAGGAGGAAGCTGGGGACGCAGCTGTCACTTGGACCTCTGGGTGGGGACCTCTGGGATCTGATGGGATGCTGCTCAAGTGTCAGGAGCATGGGGGGGCCGCTCACTCCCCCTTGGCCTGGCTTCCCCTCTCCTTGGGCAGGTCACTTCCCTTAACTGTCTCAGTTTCCTCCTCTGTGAATGAGTGAGGGCTTGGTCGTGTCTCAGGTCCCAGCTTTAAAGCCATGCTCCTGTTCTCTCCATTGAGATGACTGAAACAGGACAGGGAAGGGAGCGATGGAGGCAGGGGGCAGGTTGGCCTCAGGGGCCTTTGAGACCCCGTCCTGCTCTGTGTCTGGGGTCCTGGGACAAGACCAACGTCTCCTGGATGCCTCTTTATATGCCTCTTGTCTCCTCTCATCCTAAAACAACCATGTGAGAGAGACAGGAATACTTTGGGAAATGCTTGTCAAGTGTCTTGTGCCTGTTTTACAGGTGAGAAAAACTGAGGCTCAGGAGCAAGTCCCACCCAGGGCCACACAGGCAGTGGCAGAGCCCCAGCCTCCGCCCTTCCAGGGTTCAGGATCCTTTCCCTCAGACACTGTGGTCTCCCTGTGCCTGGCAGACGGAGTTGTGCCCTCATCCCCCCGTCCAGACAGTGCAGCTGGCTGTTCCAGCCATGAGGGCAGCTGGCTGGAGTCCTCATTTCTTCCCCTGGATGGGCCAGCTTGCCCTGGGATTCTAGATCTCTGGGCCTGCCCTTAAACAGGGGAGTGAATGATGGTATCCTTTGCCCCTTCTTGGTATGGGCAGGGGCAGAGAGAAAGAGGCCCAGCAGCCAACCTGCATTCTCCCTCACCACTGCCTTAAGCTCCTTAGGCTCACACCTGTATGGTAGGCAGGTGCAAAATGCTGGAGACATGGGCAGAAAGGCAGCTGGAGGAGGTGGGGTCATGGATCCAGAGAGGTGCTTTCAGGAGGAAGAGGAGGGAAAGGCCACAGGAAGGAGCTCTGATCTCCATCTGTCCCTGTCTGGTGGGGACTGAGGGAATAGCTCAGCTCAGGGGGCAGCCTGGAGTGCCAGGGGCCTGGCAGAGCACCCTCTCGGTCACCTCTCTTGGACTCTGGTGACCCAGCCCACCTGGTCCCACCAGTGCTCCTCCTCTTCCTCAGAAGCTTCAGCAATCGAATTCTTGTCAGTGGCCCCCTACACGGCTCTGGAACTGAGGAGCCCGAGGGTTGCCGTCCCTTCCCTTCCCTTCCTGCTGATGTTGTTGGGACATTGCTCATGCTGTTGGCCACGACGGGCTTCCCTGGCCTTCCTTCGTCTTGGGCACTTCCTGGTCTCTCCTCCCATTTATTTCCTCCTCCTGACCTTTTCTCTATTTCCTGTCCCTCTTTTCCCTCAGTGCCTTCTCTCCTGTTAACTCTTCGCTACCTCCCAAGCTTCTGCCTCTCCCCTTTTGCCCCTGCTGGGGTGCTTTCCAGCGTCGTTCTCACCTCGGGCTCCTTCAGCAGAAGCCCAGATGTTTCCAGGCATTGTCTCCCCCCTGCCTGAGTCAGGAGTCCCTGGACCCCACCTGCCCTGGGAGGTTCTCCTTGCCACTGAGGGTGCCTCTGGTGGGCCTCGAGGGTCTGGACGGGGGCTCTTGGCAGCCCTCAGTTCTAGGAAGTTGATGTCATGGCTCCCCAATGGCAGGGGGTTGAAGATGCTCGGCAGGCTCCTGGACTTCCAGGCCTGGCTGAAATCCTGATCCATTAGTGAGCATTTATTAAATGCCTCCTGCCTGTGTAGCAGGCACTTTGCCAGGCCCTGGGGTATGGCGACTACGGAGGGGTCCTAGATCGGGGCCTTCCCACAAGAGGTTTGGTACCTTCTCTGATGCTGCACAGAGAGTCTGAGCCACTTGTCCAACATCGCCCAGCCACCGTGTCCTGGGGAGGGCCCTGCTTCTCAGCTCACTGGAGGTGTACCCCAGATAAAAGCCAGGTGTTTTGGTGGGAGGCCCAGCCGTCTCCCCCTCACTGACTGGGCAGGTAGCATTGCCCCTCTGGCCTCGTTCCCCACCCATGTGATCACCACGTGTTTCCTGCATCTGATCTTTTGCCTCTCCCCTGGACTCCTGCATAGCCCCTCCTTCATCCCCTCACTCTACCCAGTGGCATCAGATGTGGGCTCCTGTTTGCCAGCCTGGCCTAGTCCATCTTTCCACATCTTACGCTTTCCATCTCCACACCTTTGCACTGGCTGTGATCCACGCCTAGCATGCTCTACCTTCAAGACCGGGTCATCTCCTGCGTGGGCCTTGTCCTGTAGCTATGGTGCTTTCTCTTCCTAAGCGGGACTTGGTGTCTACATATGTGCGTGTATGTATTTATATGTTTGTGCTGTCTTCCCCATTAGAATGTAAGCTCCGTGTGGGCAGGAACTCTCATTTTGGCTTTGTTGCCACAAAGCTTGGTGCGTAGAAGCGCTTAATAAATGCTGGCTGGTTGGGTGAGGAGGTTTGGGCGGCCTTAGAGGTACAGTGAAGAGACAGGGAATTCTCTCCTGAAGGCAACGCAGGGAAGGATGGGACGTGGAAGGCCTTGTTTGACTGGGAAGGACAGGAGGGTGGAAAAAGGCTGCCCAGGCAGGTGGGGTCCTGTGGTTGTGATGGACGTTGTGTTTGGTCTAGAGGTACTAGGGAGCCCCAGGCGTTTAGTGGGGGACACACCTGACACGGTCAGAGCTGCGCTTCAATTGACCAAGGGCCTATCCTGTGGGGAGTTCCAAGTCTGGCCCCTGCCCCTGCAAGGAGCAGGACATTGCCTGGGAGGACGCAAGGAAGTGGTTAAGGCTGCGGGTGGCCCGGGGCAGCGGGGAGCAGTGGCGAGCAGTGGGCATGCCATTGGAGCCTTGCTTTCAGGAGAGTGATTGGAGCAGGAATTGAAAGACAGAGAGGAAAGAGACAGGAGCAGAGGGAGGGGAGATGGAGGAGAGCAGACGCCGCTTTGGTGCGGCTAGCCAGGCTCCACGTCAGGGCGACGGGCCCCAGAGAGAAGGGGAGGGCCGGGGGGCCCATGGAAAGAGCCTTGGAGCAGGGC